CATGGGATCGGGCGAGCCAGACGTGGCCCCCACGCGATCGTCCTCGAGCGCGCCGTTCCTAGCCGGGTTCGAATCCCGCGCTGGTTCTGGTGAGTTCGCAGCCAACGGGAGGTCGCCAGCTGGGGCCTGGCCCGCCACCATGCCCATAATCGGGGCCGCAGCAGCCAAAGTGGCGCTACCAACTGGCGCAGTCGTCGTGGTCGCAGGGACAACTGCGTCCCCGACAGTCTTATCCACAGGGCCCGCCTGCAAAGTGCCCCTTTGTGATCCTCTGCCTCTTCCTTTTCTGGCACATCGACGAGGGGGTGGGTCCCCTGCTGGCCAGGCCACGATGCCATGCAAAGATCCTGGCCCAGTACGGACGGCGGCGCGCCCTCGCCGGCGGGAGCAGGCCAAGCATGCGACACGGCGAGTCCGTCCACACGTCCGGGCCGGTCTTGTGCCCGCCACAGCGCGTCGTCCATCGCCATGCCATCAGCGCGGCCGGGCGGCGGAGCGTCCGTACCCCGGCGGCGCGCTCTACCTTGGCCGGGTCCTGGTGCGCGGTTGCGGTTGTCGTGGGCACCGTCGTGCGCACCATCCCCACCCTGTCCCGTTCCATGCTGGCCGCGGAGAACTGGAGCACTAGCTGGCTCGACGCGGGCCACAGCAATGGCAATGGGGTAAGTGAGGGTCCTGATGGTGGGCTTGTCGGAACTCAGGCGCGCAGGGATCTGCTCGACGATCTCCAGAACGGCGACGCGGTGGATGCTGTCGGGGTGGTGTGTGCGCGCGGCCAGCTTGAACGTCGCAAGATTGGCCCTGGAGCGCATCTTGGGGTGAAGGCGCTCTATCCAGCAGCTCGTGCCCAGGACGTGCTCGGCGGTGGATAGGTGCCAAGCCTGCGCCGGAACGCCGCGGAGCTCCGGCTCGACGCAGTACTCAAAGTCGCCGGAGCCGGCGTGGGCTAGTTTGCTCCATGGCCTGAGGGAGAGCGAGAATCGCGGCGAGTTGATGAAGTGCTCTCCGTCGAGGCGGCGCTTGGTGGTGTGGGAGCTGAAGAGGATTAAGAAGTCCTCGGGGTGGTGCTCATGCACGGTGAAGTCGTCGTCGACCAGCTCAAACGTGTTGATGAGCACAGCGGAGACCTCAGCGCTAGACACACGGTGCTCATGCACGGTGAAGTCGCCGTCTGGCGCGTGGCAGCATCCACGTCAGAGGGGCCGACGTGGTCGTTGGTGGTGCGGGCACGTCCGGCGGCGTCGCGGCGCCTGTTCTCGCAGGAGCGAGAGTCGTGGCCAGACTCGAGGCATCGACGACAGCGGATGTCATTGGTGCAGTCTCGGACCTGGTGGCGATGGTCGAGGCAGCGGAAGCAGAGCCCCGCGACCTCCTCCAGCGACGGGCTGCGATGGCGCAGCGGCGGGGGGCTTGGCCCGGACGGGGACGCGAGTACCAATAATTACCGCTTTATCTGACCAAACTATAGTGGAAACTAAAACGTGAGTACGGATGAAAATATATTTAGGTGAGACATTGCACAAATAATAAAATACAACTACATACGAACATTATGTAGGTAGAATCCAAACATTCATTTTTGATTTACTTTATAATAGAAATGTAGGCGTAGCAATCTGAATAACATATAACAAATATAGTGTTCGCATGGTAAAATTAGGATACAATCTTTCTCCGAAGCTTTAAATGGTTGAGAAATGGACTACTAACACAATAACATAAACATCTAGCCGCGCAAATGCGCGGGTCACCCTTCTAGTTTTATTAAAACAGCAAGCAAAATGAAAATAAAATGACATTCTAAGAATAGCACAACTTATGTACCCCACCCACCATATGCGCCCCCACATAAGAGTTCTTGTTTCTTTCTTGTACTATTTCATGGTGGAACATATTTTAGTAGTTTGTTACCATATTAATTGATAACTCGTGGTACATGTTCTGAGTCAAACTCAAGCCTTTTCTTGATAACTTATTTTTATATTATATTTGAGAATGCAGATTGTGAGACCTCAACCGGATACTTCAGCAAAACAAGGTCATGCTATAACACCTGGAACAATCGTCAGGCTTCAACATATGAGGACTAGAAAGTGGTTGCACAGCCATCTGCATGCTTCTCCCATTACGGGGAATCTGGAGGTCAGTAACTCTTGTGACTTTCTTCTAATTTCAGGTCATGCATGATATGGTCCTTGTACCATTAGAAAACTTTTATTACTTTTAATTGTAGAAACAGTTTTAGCTGCAATTTTAGTTCTTACGTGTCCAGTTTGGTGGAGTAATTCTCATTGAAGTGACAAAATGGATGTATCTGCTGATTCAGTGGCCTATTATGTTAGTTGGTGGGGTCAACGGCCACATATGGTGTATGTCATCATTTAACGGAGTGGATTAAATTAACCAGTCTTTGTATAATTAGGCAGATACTTCTTTTGGTTTTGAATTGTCAAAAAAAGTATATCATATAAGTGAATTAAACTACTTAATTTCAAGAGTAAATTACTCTGGGTGACTATTTATTTGAGTGTGTTGAATAGGTTACCATCCTTCTTATTTGCACTTGGATCACCAATGTGCGCGGTAGTGCTGTACCCACTCATTTCGGTCAGTGCCTATATGTGCAAGTTAATAGAGTGGTAACCTATTTTACACACTCAAAAAAGTTTTGTGGCCTATTCGATACATATAATCATAAGGAATACATTATTAAAAAAATCAATTTTGTGGCACTTTTTGCTTGCACCCTTCACCAAATGAACAGTGTTTTATACAGAGAACTTATGGTGTTGCCTTCAATTATATTAGTTCACTTTCTTAGAACGTCATGATGTTCAATATGTATTCATGAATTCGTCTAATCTCAGGTTAGTTGCTTTGGTGGTGAGGGTGAGTCAGATACAGGAGACTATTGGATGTAAGTGTTGCACAATGCACATTATATTTCTGTGAACAGCTGTCGGGCCCAGTCCTTGATCTAGTTGATCTCTTTCCAATGCCAGGCTCGAGATTGAGGGCGGTGGGAAAACATGGCGTCAAAACCAACGAATTCGGTTGCGCCATGTTGACACTGGTGGCTATCTGCACAGCCATGACAGAAAGTATACCCGCATTGCAGGCGGACAGCAAGAGGTGAGTCCATCTGTCCATGAGAATATTCTCGGATGTTAGGTTGAATTCTCAGATTCTCTAGGTATTCTCCTCCAACAGTTCAAGAGCTTCTTGTCTCTGCCTTCGCAGGTATGCGGTGTTGGCGACAAGCGACCCGACAATGTCTGGCTTGCAGCTGAAGGTGTCTACTTCCCCGTGAGCCAGGCCAAATAGCTGCCTTGCTGGATGAGAAGTGTCTTCACTGAAATAGCAATTGTGTATGATTCGGAATACTGGAGTTGTAATCATTAGAAATGTTTGGTTACGTCCGAGTTCAGTTAATTTGAGCTATTAGTGTAATGTAAGCTTGTTGTATATGAACTGAAGAGCGCATGATGCTGCTGAGTACCACTTCGTTCATGCTCCGTTTCTTCCAATGCAAATAAATTGCATTAGCAGGTGTGCGTTGCAACATTACTCGCCACCGAATGATCCGGGGCAGATTGTAGGGGTGGTCTGATCTTCACGAATTGAAGGGGGAACAAGGAAGAGCACGAAGAACACCAAGAAGAAACACAAAGATAACTAGTGTAGCCCATTTAGTGAAGCACATATTGGCAGCGAACATCTTGATTGTCAACAACACTCTTTCAATTTTTAATAATTCAAAGGTTGACAGTTGATCCCAAATCCAAAGGAAAAATAGAAGGGGCGAAGCAGAACGTGGTGTTTTGGCTCCTGAGCTTGGATGCTCCCGCTGATGAACGACAGTAAAGAAATAAAAAAATCTGAATATTTTTTGCGTGCAAGATGCTCATGTGTGTGATGTCTGCAAAATTTGGTGAAGTCTGGACATTCAAGGAGCTTGTGGCACAAAAGACAAATTTTGGGTGTTTGAGAAACATTGAGTAAACATTTGAAAAAACACTGTTCGGAGTCGATTTTGTCTTTTTTACCATGAACTCCTCGAATATCCAAACACATTGAAATTTTGCACGGAGATCACACACTTGAGCATCTTCGATGACAAAAAAAAAGAATTTTCTACAATTTTTTGATTTATTGTCCATCGGATGCAGATGAGCCCGGGCACCATTTTAAATTATCGAGGCAAAGTAGTTTTTCCCATAGTCCACAGAGATATTGTATCTCCCTGAAGCTTTTTCTAGAAGGTAGAATTCGTGTGATCCATTGGAATCTTCTCCTAGAAGGGAGATCTTGACCCACGAAGGAAGGGTGCAGTCTAAATCGTGAAAACGGGGTTGTGGGAGAGTAGTGTTGTACTGCTAGACGAAGAGGTTGAGTGCCGCACTCTAGATGACTAAGGTCCAGTAACCGACAAACATAAGTTATCTCTAGAATGACAATTTTTTATGTAGCTTCACGTCCCTGATACTACCACTTGGATCTAGAACATACGTGTTGATGCTCATGATTTCCCCGATCCGAGTTCCCACGTCCGCTTTTATTCGCCTTTAGAACAGGAAAACTCAGTTAGTCACTAATGTTTGGACCATTCCAAGTCTCTATTGAAATTCGTTAAATAAATGTTAATGCTCCTTCTTTCATTTTTTTCACTTTCCTTAAAAGAATTAGAACTTTCCTGGATAAAGTTTATTGAGGGAGTTAACCACTTGCAAATGGAATCCTGGGCTAGAGTCTTTGGCTCAACATCCACAAATGACCGATTCCCCGCGCTAGCAAGTATTTGACTGGAGTGGGGGTTCTCTAGCCGAATGCGGAACATTCCATTGGGCTAGGCTTAGATGAGCGAAACTCCATCCAAATTAATATGCTTTGCAAACCCTAGATCTCTAGACACGGTTATGACTTATATTTTATTTTTTGAAAACACGGTATGACTTATATAGTTTGGGGTGTTAATATACATGGGTTGGTGGTATCAACCCAAACAGTCCAACCACCCGACCGAAGCTGCCCTTTGCGTGCTTCTCCTTCCTTGATCATGACTTGGCTTTCTCCTTGTATTTCTCTATGATCCATGCCTTTATGTCTTAGTATACAAATCGTTCTTACTCGAGGTAGTATCCATGTCTCATGTAAATTCAAATGTTGTTCATTAAAAAGTGGAGTCACCTCTATAGTACATAATAACCAATATAAAAATATGATCAATATATTTAACTAGGCCAAAATTGGATCATATATTCAAGACACCAACTAGTAAAAAGGGTAAGAGCATCTACAAGTAAACCCCTCACTTCGTTCCTACATGTCCGGACGGGCAACCTGGATAGTGCCCGGACAGGGGAGAGAGAGTAAGAAAGCCTACCCCCCTTCAGGTTGTACCTAAATACGAAAACCCGACCCATATATGGGGAGGATATAAAGGTGTACGGGAAATCCGCCACGTTAGAACCACCTCCACAATTCGTATGCATGTGTGCGGACAATTTGGAAGACATGGTTGTATGCACTAACAAATAGGGTCTCAAAGTGGGCATGCCTGGACACCATATGAACGCGTCCGCAAATGTATAGGGAGGGGGGCAAGTTAGTCAATCGTGGCTGTAGACGCTCTAAACACCCCGGTAAGCCCATCTCCAACGTCGTGCATCAAATCAGACACACCAAACATCTGCGGATACATTCGGACATTAGGAGTTGGGAGTTGGCGGAGTTCCTCACTCTCGAATTGTGGATTGTGTCTCGCAAGGAGGAGAAGGAAAATTGCCTCATCATGCAGTAGTGCACCTCCCATGAGAATGATGAGGCAGCTATGGCGAGGTTCGCTGCGGGAAATCCACACCTTGTGCAGGCGAAGTACGAAATCTTTGCCAATAAGTACGCGCAAGGCAAGAAGGCGATCAAGAAGGAGGACGAGTCTAGCCCCCTCAAGGGCGACCAAGAAGGAGGACGAGGTAGGCCCCTTGGTGATCAAGGTTGTGTCTGACGACGAAGAAGAATAGTTGGATAGTGAGACATAGCCATTCCTAGAGCTTTGGAACCGTGTCGACGACGAGATGATGATGATGAGTAGTGTGCTTAGTACTGAGTCTATCGTAGTACTTTGGTAGTGAGTCTAACATGTTTAAGTTTGGACATTTGGTATTTCGAAATATCGGAATATGCAATGATCATGTGCCTTATTTACACCACATCTACTATGACACAAAAATGTTCTAATGCCTTATTTACACCATTTTCTAGGTGATACAACACAAAGGTATCTACTTTTTCCAACAATTTTGCTATTGTTTTGGCCTCTCATTTGCATGTTTGAATGAAACTAACATGGACTGGCGTTGTTTTCAGCAGAATGGACTTGGGTGTTATTTTTGTGCAGAAACAAAAGTGTTCCAAACTAAACGGAAACTTTTGAGGATTTTTTCCAGAAAAAAAGAGGACTAGTGGATCGAAGATTGATCAAAGGAGGTCAACCAGGGCGCCACATGTCTTGGTGGTGCCTGTCAGCCCTAGGCGCGCCAGGTGTCTGTGTGGGCCCTCAAAACCGCCTTACAGTGATTCCACCACCTATAAATCACATATATTCTAGAAAAAATCACAAAACTGTTGGAAATATGCTCTAAAGGCAATAATGTTTATATTATTATATTTTTATATTCACAATTAAAGAGTTTATATTCTATGCTATAACTGTTATGATCCTGGAATACACGGTTCAATGGAAAACTCATATGCACGTGTGAAATGATAAATAGTTAAATAAAAGATTCCTCGTCTTGCCTCTAGGACTAGCTCAAGTGTTGTTGTTGATCACATTTTTCGGATCTTAGGATATCTTTTAAACTGTTAAACGAGAATCCTAAAACAACATTGAGATTACGATGTTAGAAGAACGATCATATTGAATCGAATCAAATTTGTCTGTTATGAATTGAGTAATATATATCGTTTATAATCAATTGTAATATCACAAAGTGTTAACGTATGATTTTGCTCCTTAGACCATGAGAGCATCGTAGTCACTTCTTACCGTACAATGAGCTTCGGGGTTGCTCAAACGTCACCTGTAACACGGTGATCATAACAACAACTTACGGGTTCATCAGAAAGTTTGACAAGGGACTAGATAGCTCAAGAGCGGGATTTGCTCCTCCGACGATTGAGAGATATTCTTAGGCACTCTTAGTGTGACGGCGTCCACCATCGTCTGGCTAGACATAGGTGAGTACGTCACGGGGATGCCGGAACACAACAACGAGAAAAATGAATAAAACCGGTAACGAGGATTTCAGTATAGTGAGCATAGTGATGACTCGGGAGGATACCGATGCATCCCGGGTTTTGTGAAATACCATGAAGCAAATGAAACATCACATGATAACCAAAGGTTCACTCGAATATCATTTGTGTGCTCATACGGACCGATATGGATGTCCACGGTCCCGCTATCGACCATTGAATGAAGGGGTTTCACTCATGTCTATGAGTTATCGAACCTACGCGGTCATAAACTTAAGGTAATCATGATCTACTGAGTGTTAGTAGTACGGGAGTGACGATAATATATTTGTAGAATTGTTTCATTAATATTCGGAACATTTCCGAGAGGATCCAGAAGCGTTAGGGGTCACCAGAAGGGTTTCTGTGAATATCGGGTGATACCGGGTTTTACCGATAAATATATATCAGTGAAAAATATTTCCGGGGATGTTAAATTATATAAAAAATGGTATGAAAGTATTTAGAACTATTTAATATTTAATTAAATATCAACGAGCCTTATAAAAGACCAAGAGGTGGAAGGCAACTTGGGCCACAAAGGCCCAAGTGGGGAGGCGTCTCCCTTCCCTAAGGAGGGAGGCTGAATTGGAGCAGGGGAGGAGTCCAACTCTTTCTCCCTTGACGGGCCAAAGGGGAGGGACTTTCCCTCCCCTTATGAGGCCCCCCCTCTCCCCTCCAACCTATATATACATGATGATTTGTGCTCTTTTGACATACAAGTTTTGGAGACTTTTCTAGTTTTTCTAGTTCTAGTTCTACTTGGTCCTAATTTACTAATTAGAGCTAGACTAATCCTCTAATCCTCATAATTAGGAGCCCATTGTGGTTCTAATATCCTTCCTCTAATTCTCCCACGACGATTAGCTCTAGACGATGAAGCACTGCCGGATCATGAAGGTTGTACGCTTGCAACCAAGTAGAGAGGTCGTGCTTCCGGTCTTCCGTTTGAGGGACTGTTCGTCGGCGGTTCGCGGGATCGTTCATCGGTGATTCAAGGGACTCCAAGTACAATCTACACCGACACG